ATGCTTATAAACCATGAAAGAACATATTCATTCCATGAAAAATAGAGGAGACTGTTAGTGTAACAGTTTTAGAAGCTGAGGGTGCCTAACTGTGCCTTAATAAAGTGAATTAGACCCCCGCCTTTTCATTTAATTTACATATGCCTGGCATATTTAATTTTATATAAACGCTTAAGTATTATACAACTTAGTGCCATCTTTTTTGTTTCTTTTCCCTTTTGGTTTACCCTACCACAGAGAGCAACCTTTGGGAGGAAGAGCATCGCTTGCCCTTTACTGCATTATCACTAAAGAAAATTCACCTTTGTTGTTTCCTTATTTTGCTAAAATTTAATTTTTCAGGGCTTCTTTGTCTTAAAACACTCAATAATAAGTGGAAAATGCAAGTCTATTTATTTAATAAGTGCTAGCAAGAAAGCATCTTAGAAAAAAAAAGTTTAAGATGTCTCCTCATGCCATTGCAGCTGGAAGGAGAGACACCATTCTTCATAAAACTAAACTGAGAGGGTGGGGAGATAATAAAGGCAATTGAAAGCACATTCATTATATGTGGATGAGGATGGCAAAGCTCATAATTCATTTTTGTTAATTTCCTACGGACACAAAAATATGTTCTCTATACTAAGGATATAAGTTTCTATATAACTCTTAAATCAAGATTTTTATACTATTCAATTTCTGTAGGACCTTTTCTTTTGTCTCCTAGATGTAATTCGAACACAAATGTATTGAATTTCCCCCACAGAACTGTATTTAACAAGTTCTCAGATTTGTACATTTTTGCCCTATTTAGCAGATTTGATGCTATTATACTTGTTCATAAATTTGGCCTTTTTTCAATGTATAAAATCCATCTCCAATTCTGAACTTTGAATTAGTTTTCTGCAATTTCTGCTTTTTGTTTCCTTGGAAGCTTACTGATCAACCTCACAGGTGTTTCTTATAATCAGCATATGTCTGGATTTTGTTGCTTGACCCGGTATGTCTCTGCCTTTATATAAGAAAATTCAGTCCATTCACCTTTAGCACATGGACTAAAAATTTATTGCATTCTTTATGTTACTTTGGGTTCATCATTAAATTTACATCATGGATTTCTCTGTTTCTTTTCCCATAATTTTTCTGACTTATCTCTGTCTTTATTTGTTATTTGCTTAGAGCTCTTTCTTGAACTGTTTCTTCAGATGGAAGAGACCTGGATGATACAGACTCTGAATTCTTGCAAATCCTCAAATATTTATTTCATGAGGACAGGTGAGTTATCTTTTAGCTGATGGACTGCAGTCCCTTTATTTTACCAGTCAGTAGCTGCTGTTTTCTAGCTTCCAGCATTACAAATGAGAAGTCTAATATTTTTTCTTTTTAGATAACTGGCCTTTCTGCTTGAAAGCTTATGAATTTTCTTTTTTTCTTAGCATGTCGGAATGACATCTGTATATGCTTAGTATGAGTCTTTACTCATTAATCCAGACAGAAATGTACTGAGTTCTTTAGATTACAGACTCAAACCTTTAAATTTTTTTTCAGCCCAGAAACTTTTTCTATTATTTTGTTATTCATTCATTTTTTTCAGTTCTATCCATTCTTTTTTTTTTTTTTCTTTCTGGGACTTCTGTGTCTGCATATTAGGTCTCATAGACCTATTCTTTAAGCCTATTAACATTTTTTAAAAATTATTTCTATCTCTTTCTTTTCCTCTATGCTTTGGGGTATTTAAGTTATCTAGGCTACTTCTTGGGTCTCAAAAGTGACCATTTCAATCCACTTGCTAAATTGATGAATTAGGAAGATATAAGTAAATAGATTCAGATTTAGACATGTTTAATTTTAAATTTCTATTTTTAAAAGTACATATATGTGTGTGTACATATATATATATATATATATATATAAAGATTTTATTTATTTATTTGACACACAGAGAGAGATCACAAGTAGGTGGAGAGGCAGGCAGAGAGAGAGAGTGGAGGAAGAAGGCTCCCCACTGAGCAGAGACCCTGGGATCATGACCTGAGCTGAAGGCAGAGGCCTTAACCCATTGAGCCATCCAGGCGCCCCTGAAAATATATTTATACACACACGTATTGTATATTTGTTTTTCATTTCATTGAGGTTCAAGTCTGGTTAATGGACTATTTTAAGTGGTAGTACTCCCATAGACAGGGGAAGACAAAGAGGCAAGGCAACCTTTAAGGCAGCTGGCTATTGAGTAAGAAGCATGAATCCTGCCATTTTCCTACTGAGGCACCTGGATAAAACCCTCTTGCTTTCTAGTCTACTTACAATCTCTCAGACTCAGCACAGGAGGCAGTCAACTTCAGCTTTTTCTTGGCCTCCTGGGAGTCAAAGAACCCCAGTAAATTTATACAGATCTTTTAAGAGTTCCACAGAACTAGGGTCTAGGCTTTTTTCAAGAAACCCCACTTTCAAGTCTGCACACCTAGGCTCTGATGTTGTTTTCCACATTCTTATCTAGCCCATGAAGAAGGGGATGAGAGAGATCCAACATCAGGTTTCTAAACCAGTGCTCTGAACTTCTCTCCGTAAGTCTCAGTTCTCTGGTTTAGGAGAAGCAGACATCAGACATCATAGGGAATAGAAGAGCTCATTACAATTCTCCCCCATGATCCACATCTAACTTTAGTAGAGAGTTTTAAAATTTATTTTATTTTTTTATTGCACTTTTCTGTGAATGACCTTATAAAATGGGAGACCCGTTCACTATCTTTTATATGAAAAAGCTCTGATTTTTCCCCAGTATTTGCCAACCTTAACATGATGAAGACATGTGTTTAGGATGAAAGGTCTTAAGGATTCCAGTTGTTTGAAACAAAACTCTGGTCCACTTCCTTCTCAGAGTAAGTTCAAAAAAAGCTTAAAATCCAGGGGACCTGGTCACATCTCTGAGATCCTCTGATACACAACAGTTTAGTCTGTTAGTCTCAAAGTACATTTTAGAAATAAGACTATAGGGGCATCTGGGTGGTGAAGTGGGTTAAGCAAGCATCTGACTCTTGGTTTGACTCAGATCATGATCTCGGGGTTGTGATCTCAGGGTCATGAGATCGAGCCCCATGAAGAGTTCCACCTCAAACCCTACATCAGGCTCTGTGTTCAGTGCAGAGTCTGCTTGAGATTCTCTCTCCCTCTCCCTCTGCCTCTCCTGCTCATGCTCTCTCTGTAAAATGTGTGCATTCAGGATCTTAACTAGAACAATTTAACCATACTAAAATCTTCATCTTACAGATGAGAAAACTGTGGGGTGAAAGATTAAATAACTTGCCCCAAATCACCTAATGGGTAACACAACCATTTTTTTTTAAGAGTTTATTTATTTGACAGAGAGAGAGAGATCACAAGTAGGCAGAGAAGCAGACAGAAGGAGAGGGGGAGGAAGGCTCCCGGCTGAGCAGAGAGCCAGATGCGGGGCTTGATCCCAGGACCCTGAGATCATGACCTGAGCCGAAGGCAGATGCTTAACGCACTGAGCGACCCATGTGCCCCAACACAACCTTTTTTCTTTTTTAAGATTTTATTTATTTATTTGATAGGCAGAGATCACAAGTAGGCGGAGAGGCAGGCAGAGAGAGAGGAGGAAGCAGGCTCCCTGCTGAGCAGAGACTCTGATGCAGGGCTTGATCCCAGGACTCTGGGATCATGACCTGAGCTGAAGGCAGAGGCTTTAACCCACTGAGCCACCCAGGTGCCCCCCAACACAACCATTTTTAAAGTCAGTTCTGTTATACAGCAAAACCTGTCTTTCTTTCTTTCTTTCTTTCTTTCTTTTTTTTTTTTTTAAGCAAAACCTCTCTTTAAACACTGTGCCATATAGACTCTGAATGTGTAAGCCAGGGAGGGGTCCACACAATGATTTTCAAAATGTGATCTTGGAAGTCATAGAAATTCAGGTGTTCATTTCCTGGTGGAGGCCAGAGGGGTAGGCTCTGGACCACCTACTTCTGCCAAACATTGAACTATAAACATAGTTAATATATATAACTTCCTATGTGCCAGGGACCGGTTTAAACATTTCAAGGACATTAACTCAGTTAATTCTAACAACAAACTTGTAAAATAGTTACTATTATTGTGCCTATTTTAAAGATTACACCAAAAGGCTGTCATGCAGACAAGATCACGTCATAAGTGGGTGGTATTGTCAGAATAGAATCCAAGGAGTCCCTTGCTTTTAAAGACTTTCTAAAAAAGTGTTCCTTACCTAAGAGTCGAATACTACTGATCCAGCCTAAGTTTGAGAAAAAGTGCTTTAAGGTAATGAAAACATTTTCCTAAGAGAACACTGAACAAGATAATAGAAGAGCAAGTGGTTGGATCTCTTTCTGGGGCTCTTTCCTATGGCGCCGCCTCGATCCCACCTTGTCTTTCTCCTCTCAGCCTGCAGTCTCCAGAGAAGTCCAGTACTTGGCAAGAAAAGGGCGAGGAGGAAAGCGCGACCCCGCCACCGAGTCAGCAGGAGCCAAGAGGGTCCCGGGAAACAGCAACCTGGAATTTGAAAGGTCCTCTTCCTGGCGGCGCGACTCCAACCTCGAGTTTAGGGACAATGCTAGGACCAGAGCTAGTGGGGTGCCTATTCCGCCAAAGGCGTGGGAAAGCGGGCTCAAGCATCCCTCGCCGGCAAAGGCGAAGTGACAGCAATGGTTTCCCCCAGGTTTCCTGTTGGGGGGGGGTCCCCACTCGCGGGTTCTGCGGGTCCCGGAATTCTCCGAGACCGGCCAGAATCCCCAGCCCTGTCCCTTTCCCAGGGTACCTAAAAGCTCCTAGAACAGTCCTATTTCGTTAGCATTGGGGTGGCTGCATCCCAGCCTCTTCTCAGACAGCGGAGGGTACAGGTCTTCTGCCAGGCAAACTGGAGGCTGAGAGCCGGACTGCGCCCGGAGGCTTTCCAGCCAATCAGGAGCCACGTTCTCCGGCGCTCTCCTTTCCGCCCCGCCCCTCTCGTCTCCCTGGAAACGGTCCTAGTGTCTATGCCGAGGCCCCGGGCTTCCATTTCGGTCTAGCGGGGCTGCGGCCATTGTTTGTGTAGATGGTCAATTTTGGCCGGTCCCATCCCCCTCAGAGGCTCCATAAGTGACGCGGACTCTCGGGAGCACCGAGCCAGAAGCGGACAAGGGCGGGGAGAGCTGTGGCTGAAGAAAGAGTGGCAGAAAAGGGAGGGTGAGGGGCCGAGAAGCGGCTCTGGCTTAGAAATCCCGAAGACACCAGTGTAGGTGGGTCCCTCACGGCCGCACTCAAGTTAAAACCGAATATGGGGAAGGGGAGAGGAGGACAGAGGTAGTTTGGACCTTGGCGCCGGGGTGCTCAGGGTTGGAAAGTGTTGGGGCGGAGCTCGGGTCGAGGGTCTGGAAGTGGGACGGAGGCCGCGCGCGTCTTCGCTGCGGAAGCGGAGGCCGCGCAGACCCGTGGCCCTGGCGCGGGCAGATCCCGCTCCTAGAGCACGGTTTGTGTGTCTGAACGCAAAAACACTCGGGCAGCCCGCCTTGGGGGAGCCCGAACCTGTGCTGCTCTTGAAACGTCCATGAATCGTTTTTTGTTTTTGTTTTTGTTTTGTTCTCCTTTATTCTCTAGAGAAAGAGAGCTCTTAACTGTTTATCATTTTCCCCAGGGACCTGTGATCACCAAGGCAGAACCGGGGTAGCAAAGGCTCATGCCCCCATTTTACAGGTGAGGAAAGTGAGGCCCTGGGAGGTCTAGAAGAAACCATTTTCCAGGTTCTACAAGTGGTTAGTAATAGACTTGAGACTGATCAGGTCCTTGGAATGCTAGATCTGGGACCCTTCTTTAAGGTTCTAATACTCTGATAGTAAATCCAGTATTTCTATTGTAATAAGTACAGGAAAGCAATGGAACTATCTTTCTACTTAATGATGATTGAACAAAACAAGAAAAATACTTTTAGAAAGAAACTAAGTGTCGCATTTCTATTATTTTATATACTTGTTAATAATTAAGAAAGCCTTGGGATTCCGGTTAAATTACACAGAGAGCATCTGCATCCCTGGAGGGATCTTGGTAAGATCAAATTCTGTTTTCATGCCCAAACTAAAATTGTACCTTTGAAGTTTTTAAAGGTTCAGAAATAAAGTCCTTGGTGCCAGTTGGCATAACTCTCCTATCTAGCCCTTGAAACAGAACAGTATATGGGGATTGTAGTGAGTTTGGGAACTGTAAGATATGCCCAAACTTTCATTCCTCCTTTCTTCTCCCTCAGCTCAGACTCCTCAAAACTCCACCCTTCCCCAAAAGAGGAGCATGAAAGAGGAAGGAATGTTCAGTACTTTCCTCATAGTCTGATCCCAGGTGAGTAGGATTGCCTTTTCTTTATAAAATGCCTCTGAATTCTCCACGGGTGGTGGGAGTTAAGAGGGAGCAGCAGTGGGGATGGATGGACCAGACAGAATAGAAAATATTCCTCACTTGCCTGAGAAGCTTCCAAGCCTCCTACGTAGCATTTCCCCGCCTCCCACCCAGTCTCTTTTTCCAACGTTTACTCGTTTATTCAGCAGGTCATCCAGGTCTGTTGTATAATATGTACTGTTCTTGATGCTCTGAGATAGGGAAATATATAAGAATGTCTTTTCTTAACGTTGGGGAGGTAAGCCATATGAGGTTAATAATAATTTCTCAAGTTATACATTAAGCAGTGTCACAATGAATGGCATTTAAAAGAAACAGAAGCTCAGGTTTGAAAAATCATGAATAGGATGATATTCTAGACAGGAAGATGATCATTTAGTCTCAGGCAGGAATTGAGGGGAAAATAAGAAAACTGAGCTAGTAACTAACTGTAGAGCATTTAAATATGCATGTATAAGGTGAGGCCACATTGTGGAAGGCTGTTGACGTTTAATTGATTACTTATTGTTGTGCACCACTCAGTCTTCTGCACTTCAAAAGAGGGAGCCATTACCGACGTTTGGATCTATTTACTTATAGTCTTTTATCTAATATTTGATATACATACATAATCTGTATAGACACATATACATACATATATGTACACATACAAATATAGACACATAGGTAATCTAATATATATGCATGTAGAGAGATTATGTATTAAAAAAATTTGAACATGATAAATCAGCTCCATGAGGGCAGAGAACATTTCCAGTACATAGAACTATGCCTAGCATGTAGTAAGCCCTCATTGAATATTTGTTGAATGTATGGATAGCTTTTACATGTATAATTTTTCATTGTTAAATATATATTATATATAAATACAATTAACAGTTTTTCCACATATTTTTTGGTAGCCTGAGTTGGGTTTTTTTTTTTTAAGATTTTATTTATTTATTTGACAAAGAGAGATATCACAGGTAGGCAGAGCAGCACACAGAGAGGTGAGGGAAGCAGGCTCCCCATCAAGCAGAGAGCCAGATGCGGAGCTCGATCCCAGGACCCCGAGATCATAACCTGAGCCGAAGGCAGAGGCTTAACTCACTGAGCCACCCAGGTGCCCCAGTATCCCGATTTTTTTTTTTTTAAGATTTTATTTATTTATCTCACAGACAGAGATCACAAGTAGGCAGAGAGGCAGGCAGAGGAGGAAGCAGGCTCCATCCCAGGACCCTGGGATCATGACCTGAGGTTTTAACCCACTGAGCCACCCAGGCGCCCCAGTAGCCCAAGTTTTAATGACTATTTAGTATTCCATTCAAATTATGTATCATTCCATTCCAGATATATGGGATTTATTCCAGCCATATGTACTTTAATCTTCTTTTTGGGGGGAAAAACTTAAGTAATTCTCAATATTTTGCTGTCATAAAGTTTTCTATTAAATATTTTTAGGGCACCTGGATGGCTCAGTTAAGTCAGTTAAGCATCCGCCTTCAGCTCAGGTCATGATCCCAGGGTCATGGGATTGAGTCCCTTACTGGGCTCCTTGCTCAGCAGGGAGCCTACTTCTCCCTCTCCCTCTGCCTGCCATTCCCCCTGCTTATGCTCTCTCTCTCTCTCTCTCTCTCTGTCAAATAAATAATCTTTAAAATTTTTAAAAAATATTCTTATACATAATTTATTTAGTGTATCTCTTTATATCCTCAAGGTATGCTCTGAGAAACAGGATAACAGAGTTAAGGAATATAAACATGTTTTAGACTTTTGAAAAACTTAAGTTCTTTTTTTTTTAGAAATACCACATGAATTTTTTTTTTTTAAAGATTTTATTTATTTGTCAGAGAGAGAGAGGGAGAGAGAGCGAGCACAGGCAGACAGAATGGCAGGCAGAGGCAGAGGGAGAAGCAGGCTCCCCGCCGAGCAAGGAGCCCATTGTGGGACTCGATTCCAGGACCCTGGGATCATGACCCGAGCCGAAGGCAGCTGCTTAACCAACTGAGCCACCCAGGCATCCCCCACATGAACTTTTATAACCGTTTGAGGAAAGATACTATCTTTCAGAACTTTTACCACCTTTGAGTATTATCTTTAAGATTTTGCCTTGAATTGCATCCCTTTAATCTTTAGTAAGGTTGACCATTTTTTACACACATTTACTGGTCATTTGCATTCCTTCTTTGACATAAGTATTGTATGTCTCTTGACATGCATTACTTTTTTTCCTACTAAATTTTTTGTTTCTATTTGATAAAAGATTCTCCTTGTATATAAAAGAGATAAACCATTTGTTAAAGGCTATATTTCTCTAGTTGCTTGCCTTTTGCTTTTAAGGACTTCTTTGTTTTTTATGAGTTTCACATTTGTATAAAGCAAAATCTTATTTCTTTTTATTTATATAGTATTATGCTTTGGGAGCTCTTCTTCACCCCCAAACATAATACATAATGACTTTCATTTTCTCAACTGTTTTTTACAGTTTCAAATATTTTAAAAGTTTAACTCTGAAACCTATCATATATTTATTTTGGTGCAAGAAATGACAGAAGTGAAACATTTTTCCTCCCACTTATTTTTGTAGTAGCATTTACTTTCTCCATTGATTGTGGTGCTACATATTTATATATCAAATTACTAAATTTTTTAACATACCCACACACATACACAAGTGTATATACAGACCACTCTTGGGGCTGTCCTGTTTTGTGAACCCATCTCTCAATTCTTTTTTTTTTTTTTTAATTTATTTGACAGAGATTGAGAGAGAGCACAAGTAGGCAGAGCAGCAGGCAGAGGGCCATCTCTCAATTCTTATACTGCTATCCAAGTGTATTTAATTTTGTTCCTTTATATGTAGTGTGCTTAATGGAAAATGCAGAGGAATTTAGCCTTTTTCCACATTTAGGAATAAAGAAAAGGAAGATGGCTCATTGTGGGAAAAAAAGAAAGTAAAAGTTTCTTATAATAAGTTTTAGATACCGAATATATTAACTTTTCAGTATTTTTTTTAGTCTAGCTTAATGGCTCTGGACCCATTATCTAACCTTGTTTCATTGCCTCTACCACTTCTGAGTTATGTGAACTAGACTGCATTACTTAACCAGTTTCTCAATTCTGAAGTGGGGAAATAGAACTTTCTAGGGTTGAGATGCAAACATGTAAAAACCAGCACAGTGCCTGACAAACAGAATCACTAACAATGGTTGCTATTATGTTAGTTATTGTTAAAATATAATGCATATCTGATACAACTTTCTCTAGTCAACTAAGACATAAGAATTGAGACAGGGCATCTAGCCTTTTTTTTTTTTTTTGACAATGGCTAGTCAGATGTTCCAGTATCATTAATTATATAACCTATCTTATCCTCACAAATTTACTATTACCTTTACCATGTTTAGAATTCACTGCTATATTTAGGTCCACTTTCAGATTTCTATTCTTTTATATTGATCTTCTCTATTTCTGTGTCAGCCTCATGGTGTTATAATTAGAGCTACAGAGTTCTTTTTTTTTTTTTTTTAAGAGCTACAGAGTTTTAATATACCATTGGGTTAGTCTCCTCTCGTTATTTCTTTTTAACACTTTTCCTTTTTCTCACAAAAGTACTTGAAAATACCCTCCCCCAAACCTGTTGTATCTTTGAAAATGTAAGTAAGTTTAGTGATGACAAAATTATGTTTATTTTTCCTACCAAAGATTGAGGAGTGTTTTCTAAATTCAAAAGCTACATTTATCTGTGTTCTAAGTGTTTTTGTTAAGTACGTAGGAATCTATCTATATATATATACACACATACACATATTTATATATAAATGTGTATATTTAAAGATTTAAAAATAGATTTAAAGATTTATTCATTTATTTGAGAAAAAGGCAGAGAGGGTACAAGAAGGGGGAGCAGCAGAGGGAGAGGGAGAAACAGATACCCCACTGAGCTGGGAGCCTAATGTGAGGCTCAATCCCAAGATCTCGAGATCATGACCTGAGCTGAAAGCAGACTTGCAACCATCTGAGCCACCCAGGCACCCCAGAATTTATATTTTTTAGTTGCTATTGTAAATGTTATTTTAAAAATTTATTTATTTATTTTTATTTATTTGAGAGAGAGAACAAGCATGGGTGGGGGGGGGCAAGGGAAAAGCAGACTCCCCGCTGAGCAGGGAGCCTGATGCAGGGCTCTCTATCCCAGGACTCAGATCATGACCCCAGCCAAAGGCAGACGTTTAACCCTGACTGAGCCACCTGGGCACCCCGTACATGTCATTTTAAAAATACATTTTAAAAGTGGCTCCTGGGTGGTTCAGTCAGTTAAAATACCTTTTAATGAGTATATGTCTGAACTTTCTAAATTACGTTAATTGTATTTTATATGGTCAGTTAATTTGAACTTGTGATGCATTACATGCATGCAAAAGAATATATTAAAATATTATGCATAATTTAAAATAACATGAACACCTACCCTCTAGACCAGCAAATATTTTGAAAAGCACCCCCCTGCTGACCCCACAATTTCATTCCCTCCTTTTCCTAAAGAGGCAACTGCTATCTTAAATGTGTTTATTATTCCTTAGTTTTATATAAATGGAATCACTGTGATTGGCTTCTTGATTTGTAGCTATACAAATGTAGCTATAGCTTTTTTGTATGTATATATAGCTTTTTCACAGCTATGTACTGTTTCACAGAATGACAACTTATTTATCCATCCTACTGTTGTTGGGCCTTTTGTATTGCTTCTAGTGTTTCGTTCTTACAGCAGTTATGCTGAAAATGTTATTGTACATATCTTTTGGTATACATGTGTAAGTTTCTCTAGGGTACAAATCTAATATTAAAATTTCTGGGACATTGGGCACCTGGGTGGCTCAGTGGGTTAAAGCCTCTGCCTTCGGCTCAGGTCATGATCTCAGGGTCCTGGGATCGAGGCCCGCATCGGGCTCTCTGCTCAGTAG